TGGGGGGCAGCCCTACCCATGGCTGGGGATTGGGAATGGGTGGGCTATAGGGTTTCTTCCAATCCAAACCGTTCTGTAGTTTCATGATTCTATACCAGTAGAAATGTTTTCCATTGGTATGTGTGACTAAGCTGGGAGAATGGTACCAGAAGCTATGACAGCTGAAGTTCTTAATTTTTTCATTACCTTTATTTTTAAACTTAGTAGGTCCTGTAACATGCTCCCAGCGGGGCAGTGCTGTGCAGAGCTGGTGCAGTACAGGCTGAATGATGGCCATGGCAGCCAGTGGTGCTGCAGGGATCATGCTGGAGAGCTGTGAATGGATTGGGTCAGAGTGTCAGGCTGACTTGAGGCCAAGATGAGAGTGGGAGTTGTGGGCTGGGGCCATAGAGCGTGATACAACCGTACCAGCAGGGGCTTGCATAAGGCTTTGCCTTGAAAACATTTATGCTGTAGCAGACGTATGAGGTACTGCGTGGATGCTTTCCAAAGCGTGGGATAGGAAGACGTGGAGAGGCTATATTATCATTTTCCTGACTGTTGCAGGTGCAAAGAATTTGGTAACAATATTTACTCTGGAGCCAAATTGCTCTCAGACTCCCTCCTATGTTTATTCAGTTGAAGAGAATTACCCAGCATTTCTGCTTCTCAACAATCGCAGGTAAGAATTCCCAGACAGAGTATTTTTCTTTCTTTTATTCCCTTCTGAAACATGTGTCTAGACAAGTGATAGTCAAACCTTAAACTCTTTGGTTGCATATTTGAAGGGTACCTGACTGTTTCCTCTCTGCATCTATTGCCCTGAGTGTATTCAGCCTGCCTTGGTTCCTGGTAATTGGGCTGAGGGCCTCTGGAGAGCAACTTTTCTTGTAAGCTTTTCAACTACTCCTGGTTTGAAGGAGTTCAGGGATCTCCAACCCACAGGGCTTCTGCATGTGCTTTGCTTTTTGGATTTCTGATTCTATCTCAAACCAAGAAGTACAAGGAAGCATCATACTGTTTTATTACTGTTTTATTGTGGTTGTGTTTTTTTTTTTTTTAATAATTACAATAATAGTAACCTAAGAAGACTCATCTCCAAACCTTAACTTAAATGCTATTTCACAGAATTGTAGGGGTTGGAAGGGACCTCCAGAGATCATCGAGTCCAACCCCCCTGCCAAAGCAGGTTCCCTACAGCAGGTCGCACAGGTCGGCATCCAGGCAGGTCTTGAACATCTCCAGAGGAGACTCACAACCTCCCTGGGCAGCCTGTGCCAGTGCTCCGTCACCTCACTGCCTGCGGTGTGTAGCACTGCTGATACAGTCCTGGGAAGGAGTCTCAAAGGATATTGTGCCATTATGGACTGTGGTCCTGGCTTATTGGGCTGTTTGCTGATCTGAAGGAATGCAGTTAGTCTAATCCATTTGATTTCAGGAGCATTTCATGTGGATGCAGAAGTCTATTACAGTGTTAACGGCAGCCCTTTCAGTACCTGTATCACTAAATGTTTTCCTGTTCTAAAATAATGACAGATGTGGGGCTGTTTACTGGAAACAGTGGCAATGAAGAGACTCTTGAATTATTTGTTAATCCATTTTATTATCTATTTGACCAAGCAGAAATGTTCTACTCTTGAGGCAGTGAAATATCCAGAGTTAATGACAGTCTGTTCCATGCGTACTACACCCTCACTTTTAAAGCAGTTTTTGGGTTTGGCGGGGACGTTCCGTACGTCACTGCAAGAAAGTGCTCCACTTCACTGGGCCTTTTCTAGCAAGGTTTAGGCAGCCTCTAGTGCTCTTCTTCTGAGATAAGAGGGTGGTAGGAGCAATCTGGTTCAAAATCCCCAGCTTTGGTGTTGCTCCAGCCTCCCAGTCATCCCACTGGCTTGCAGCTGGCACGCAGGAAAGTCTTAAGTTGGACGCTGCGGCTCCTCTCTATTTGAAAGTGGAGGTTCACTGCTTTAAATTAGGTAAGAATAGTGAAGAACAGTGGTTCCTGCGATCCAGAAGTTCATTTTGTTCTCTTTTTCAGTTAACACTCTATTAAAAAAATCACTGCAAAACTTGACTCTTCTTTCTGGAGTCAGTAACCAGGCAGTGTAATTCAAAGAAGAGAGCTGGGTTGGGTAGGAAGAAAACTGCAAACTTCCAGCCCTGCTGCAACCAACTCCTTACTGCTAAAAGCCGAGTGAGGAGAAGGACAATTATTCAGCTCCATGGTAACAGTGGAAGATTATAATTTCCATTCCATTCAAATTTTAAAATGAAAAATATTTATTTGGTTTGATAAATTCCTCAAGTCCTCTCCATCTCTGTTTCTATTTTAATGCAAAAATAGAAACACTCTAGTTCCTATCTTGTTTCTATGTTGGCAGGAGCAGCTGTCTTGGTTGGTAGTGTTACAATACATTTGACTGTGGTGTAGCTCTGTTTGTCTTTAGTTTACTACTTGTTTCTTTCTCCCTAAGTGCACTGAATACTGAGAACTGGTTCTGCAGCTGGTGTCAGCTGGCAAAGTCTGGCTCTTCTGGAGAAGGGGGCCCAGACCCATAGCTCATGCAGATCACCGCAGAGCTGGGTATTGTTACTAAGAAAACATTTGGTAATGAGCTATGCACTTAAAGCAGCTTGGGGAGGAAGAAGACGTGGATGTACTCTAATCACAGGGTGACTCTGAGCCACAACTATGCTATAGCCATGAAAAGGGAAATGCAGTCTTAGGGGACAAATCGGACAGGGACAGTGCACCAGGCATAGATGAGAGTTCAGCTTCAATGCTGTGCACTTTTTTGCTCACTAAGAAACAAAATAAATGAGCTGATGTAGGAGCAATAGCAGAAACAGGTGGACAAGGACAGCAGGGCTTGCCAACAGAGGGGACATTGGGAGGGGTTAGCTGAGAAAGGCAGTGACCAGAATTTCTGCCTATGAATATGTCATAGCTGAAAATTAAGGAAGAAGAGTTGAGAAGAGCTCTCTAGGCAAAGGGATGTGCTGGTACAAAAATGGTAATACAAACTGCCGTGGATGGACATATTCTGGAATAAGAAAAAGATTTGCTAAGTATTGGTGATTATAAGCACAGTCAATTTCCTTACTTAAGGTGGAGCTTGCTAGAGGAGCTCATAGGGCAGTGTGAGGGAAATAGGTCAGAACTTAAAGATGTAGCAGTGTTTGGTGCCGAAACCTGTGACTTGTGCCAAGAAGCTGTAATGTTGTGTTGTGACTCTTCAGAGTAATATGCCAAATTCTCATTATCTCTTTTATTTGAAGCCTCTGTTTGGGCCATCAGAGAAGCAGTGTTGCCATCAGCAAGCCAGCTAGGCTGACAGGTGAGTAGGTCTGATCATCAAGCAAAACTAATGATTGGTCATGTCTGCAGCAGTTTTGTGTGGTCTTCATAGAATGACAGCTGTATTTTAATGTAGGGAGAAAGTAAACTAATAGTGGTGGTGTTGTTTTAGAAGAATAAGACCATACGAAACTTCTAGGTGTTTACGAAACCTGAGGATGCCTTACTGCTATGAATCTTTACTCACACAAGCAGCAATGGTCGAAGAGGAATCATACCCATGGAGTCTCAGCAGACAGCCATAGGCTGGGAGAAGGATATTAGAAATTTTTTTTATCAGGGAAAAAAGAAACCAGAGATTGTATATATTTAAAAAAAAAATAAAAAAAATGCTTGGATCAAAGTAATCAAGGTAAACACAAAAAAATAGCAACTCATCCCCTCTGATTTATTCAAAATAATTCTATGTATGTTTGTGTACATTCTATTCTAATGTCCAGGTTAGTACAGGATGGCTCAGAAAGGGTATTCCTTAGAGAGGTGAAGGCGTGAAGGACATCTAAGTGCCTGGTGCTGTAAAGTTCTTTCTCGTGTGTAAACATAAGCTGTGCACTCCCCAAAATGTGCTCCTGCTGGGCCCAATTTCACACTGACTGTGCTTGATGGAGCAAGTGAGTGGGGACTAAAAGTGGGCTGAAAGAGGAGGGAGGGAAAGACAGAAATGTGCCCAGTGTAGCTACAGGGAGGTAGCCATGCAACTGCTAGGCCTCAAAGCTGTCCCTCTGGAGTAGCAGATGGGTCACCCAGGCACTGCTTTAGCAAGGAGCAGGCAGATGTCCCATGCAAGGATAAGCAGCTGGCTGGCAGCACTGACCCCTGAGTAGCCATCTTTGGAGTATACTGCTCCACACACAGCTGGTCAGCAGGGAGAAATGGGGTGGTGTCAAGAATGAAGAACTTCAGTCAGTAATCCTTAGCAAGGAGTGAGCATTTAAACAAAAGAGCCATTGTGGAACCTACAGACAAATGCTGGTTGTAAAATGGACAGCACCTTACTCAAGAATGCAATGGGCGCTTCCAGACTTCTGAATTTCCACCAAGTTTTAGAGGCTAAGTGCTAAAGAAGATAAAGAAGGTAGATGTCGATCAGTGGGAGGATTTCATCTGTCCCAGGAGTTTCCATAGGATGCAGTCCTTAGCCCATCTTCAGTACACCATGCTTGGCTTCCTTCCCTCCTCAGATCATTGTCCTGAACTGATAAAGGGAATACATAGCAGCAGATAAAAAATGTACTGGCCTCTCTGAGAGTCCTTTACACATCCACTACTTCTCATCCCAGTAGCACATACGATCAACCTTTCTGTGCAACTGTACACAAAAAATAATGTCTCTCTACACAGCAGTACATTGGTGTTACACAAAATAAAGTGTTCCAGCAGTTTCTACTGCAGTATAAGAATGCTGCTAGAGTTGACAGAAGCCACCTCTTCCCCCCCTGCTTTCCCTAAAATTAGTTATGTCTTTGCTTTCTGGTATGACAGCAGTATCAGTGTGCTCCCCCCTCCCACCATGCTTTGCTGTGTTACAGGCAATGGCACTGCTCAGAACGAAACACTGCAGCTGTGAACTTTGCTTCATGTTAAACATGACTCACTTCTGGTTGCTACACTGAGCAATCTGAAATCACATAATCACCATCCATATTATTTGTATGGACATAAAATAGCAGAGCAAAAAAGGAAAACACCCAAGAAATCTGTGGTGTAACTTCAAATACGTGTATGAGGATTTCTATGCTTCCCACTATCCTGTGTAGGTGTTTTGTGATTCCCATTAATTATTTAACCGTATGTTTCTCTTTTTTTTTTTATTTAAATAGATGTTTCAACACATTTCTTTGTGGCATGCGAGCTTGGCTAAAATAATGCATGGTGTGATCCTGCTCCCATTTAATTTAATGCCACCATTCCTACTGATTCAGGATTAGACTTCTGGTAAAGCAGCCCTTGCTACATGCAGAAAGAGCCAGCCCTGTAAATACAGTCTATCTAGGCTGCAGACATATTGAACTTAATTATAAAGAAATAATATTTTTCCATTACCTGAATAGATGCAGCTAGGTAAGAAAAGCTCTAAAATACAGGAGAGGGAATAAAAAAATAAATAAAAAAATTGCAGTTGCAATGAAGGTCAGTATAGCACAATCATGGAGTTTCCAAATATATTCATGCTACAGTTCTTCTTTGGAAAGTTTTGGACCAAACATGTTGCTCTGAAGATCACCATTAGCTCCGCTTCCAGTTGTGTTCTCTGTAAGAAAGTGCCAGACTCCCATAGCTGTGATACAATTATCCAGGACTTCCAGGAGCAAAATGGTGCGCAGAATAGCCCTGGAGGGGTGACAGCCAGCAGCATGGTACCTCCATGTGACAGGTCTGGCTGCACAGCTGCACCAGGGGAGGGCTGTGTCACAGGGCAGATGCACAGCTCGCAAGGATGAGGCACAAGTTTGGCCCTTCCTGCTAAGCCACTCACCTGACTGACAGGGGAGTGAGAATGATCCAGGACAACAGAAAAGCAGCAGTATTTTGTGAAATGAGGAAGTGGCTTGCTAATGTTAACTGGTTTCACACTGCTGTGAGAGTTGATTCTCCAGGAGAAATGCATCTATAATGGGGTTGGGTAAAGAGAAAAATCTGTCTTCAATTCATCTGTTCAAGCAGAGCAGGCTGAGTTCAGCTTCTCACAGATACAAACGTGCCAGCTATTTTAGGTAAGTATGACCACCTCTGTAAGGAAAAAGGAAAACAAGTTCAGATACAGGAAGGACTTAATTCCCTACATTTCATTTACATTTCAGTAGTAGAAGTCTTTCATTCCTACATCCAAAATCGCCCACTAAGCACTGCATTCAACTTGTACTCAGTTCATACTGAGCAACAGACAACCTGCATTAGCTTCACTTTTGTTTGTAAATTAATTTGTTGGACCAAGTCTATGGTGTTATTTTTTATCAGTGATAGAGAGGGCGTTATTTCTTTGTGGTAAAAAAAAAAAAAAAAGTCTTGCCCCTGATACACGTGCATGACATGCAGGGATAAATTCTCCAGAATATGGAACTTTGCCCTAAGCTGCTCAGTTCATTGGCTGTATCCAGGGAGAGCCCACTTCGGCCAGTGATGAAAACTATCTGCATCAAGACACCATGATAAGGCATGAGAAAAGAAAGTCCTTGAAAGATGTCCTTTTGGACAGTGGGTATAAAACTATGTTCATCATTGTGGAAAGCTGTTGCTGGGTCCCCCTCAGTGCTTTGCACTAAGACATCAGCCTCATGTCTGTCTCCAAAAGAAGGGTTTTTGTGCTTACTTAGAATTGAGATGGTTGAAATACCAATTTGTTAGTGTTCAGACATATTCATAAATAGGCCAGTATGAAGGATGAATAGTGAGATGAGAAATTTTGCAGATGATGCAAATTATTTAGCAATGTAAAACTAAATCAGGCCACAAAGCACTGCTATAAGAGTTCATGACACGGAGCGACAGGGCAATAAAATGAGTGATGCAGCGCACTGTCAACAAAAGCGGAGCACATGCAGAAACTCTAACTACACTTCAACGTCAATGAGCCCTAAATATTGCATCTAGTAAAGAAATTATAGAGTCTTCTATGAACACTAGTTAAAGCCCATCAGAAGAGACAACTAAAATGTTAAAAATTACCTGGAAATGCAGCAGGAGCAAAATAAGAATCCACCATGACAGGAATCATTGATGAAAATGTGTCATGATAATAGCAAGTTTCTTGGCCTCCAGAAGAGTTGAGCTGAAAAGCACTCAGGATGAGGAGAGGTGGGGAACAGCTTCCATAAATATGAGAAATGAAGGAGATGAGTTTGCAGGGTGGAAAGGGATGATAAAAGCAGGAGATACATTCACCATCTGTTTGATCATGAATGACACATAGGAAAAGAAATATAGAAATTGTTTTCTGTGGCTTCTCCTAAGAACTAGAGGGGACCCAACAAAACATTCACATCAGAAGATTTAAACCAACACAAGGAAGTATTTTTTCCATGCAAAACATAACTAAGTTGTGGAACCCATTGCCACAGGATGTTGCGGAGGCCAGAAGTTATAAATGGCTCAAGAAAAGGATCAAAAAAATTCAAGCAGGATAGATCCATGGGTGGCTATTAAAACACACTGGTCTGGAGGCAGCCTCTGCTTTGGGAAGTCCATAAACCACAGATTGCCTGGAGCAAGAAGGGTACCAGGCAAGGATCATGCCATGCCTCCTCTTTGAATTTCCTCCTTCCACATCTCTTTCTGGCTATGGCAAGGAATAGAGCACTGCTTCACACAATTGTGAGGTGTGACACCAGTCAGGTCCTACCTCCTCTGGTTCTGTTTGGGGCATGGTCTCCACTTACCTCCCCTAGATTTCAAAGAAAAAAAGAGGGGGAGAAGAAAAAACAAAAAAAAGGGGAAGAAACAACCCCAGCCCTCCACATACTGCTACTAGGCAGTCTGGTAGTTGTTTTATTTTCTTTAGAATGGACCTTGTGTTGCAAGTGGCAGGAAGCCATGAACCACAAAAATAAAATAATTCTAACCCTAGTGCTAAGTAAGGAAAACAAAGATGGCTCAGCAATTAGCAGCATTATATATGTTGGTACTAAGTAACAACAGATGTCAGGACTTGAGCCCTTTTGCATTCCTTGCAATCCTTTGGAAACCAAAGCCTTTTGACATTGCTATACATTATTACAGTTATTTTGGGTCTCAGAGAGCAGCAAAAGCTGTTTGAATGTTGAAATACGTATGTTACTAGGACTGGCTGGGTCTTACCTGTGTCTATCTCACCATCCTGCATACTTCTGCTGACTTAACAGGCTAGTGTGTGCTGTAAAAGCCTGCTCTGTAAAGACATGCGCTGGCCATGAGTCATTAGCAAGCATGCGAAGCTAATTGGCAAAATACTCATAAAAGATTTTGAAGGTGGGTTAATTACAATTCATTACACTGTAAACTGTCCCCAGGCTATTGTTAAAAAATGCAGGAGTTTCAAGGTCCAGTATTTTATGATTCATTTTGCCATGCAGTGAAAAACAGACTCTATATCAAACTACATTCATTATAGTTAAGACCACAAAATCTTTATTGGTTTTCCCAACATTCCCTCCTTGTTATATGAATTCATATGGACTGCACATTTCTAACAATTGGCAAGAAAGCATGAAATAAGATTTATGATATTTTTTTACCTTATACTCAGTGCAGCCTTAAAAACTGCCCGTTCCAATTGCTTCACCTCCTCCCACCTTGATTCACTTGGGCTGATAGGATAAGAGCTGGAAAATAAACAGAGGTAAATGAGAACAACTTCCCCACACTGAAGGTTTGGTTGTGTGATGAACCAGGTTGCTGCGTGTCTGCACAGGAAATTCAGCTCTGCAAGAATACTGATAACAAAATTGTAATAAATAAGAATCACCTCTTGTAGCACTGTAAGTAACAGTTTCAAATTCAGTTGACACATTTATACCAGATACTTCTATATCCAGATGGATAGAGAAGGATGAGACGGCTTTCATAGCTGAGCACAGAACATACCAGAGACCTGGGTTTCATTCTTGTCTCTACTTAGACAAAACTTGCAGACTTGTCCATCAGCTACATGAACCATACAACCCCAAGTGCTTTGCAGGATGAGGACCTTGGTACACTTAAAGCCAAGTTCTCAAGCGTATAACAGAACTAACTGTGCCTTTGACTGTCTTCGCTTATGCCTGGGATGTCAGATACTGATATTTTTCTCATGAAAGGTCTGTGAGAAGGAGGCATTGCTATTGAGTAGCTTGGCATAATTCTCAATAATGTTGTGTCGAGGAGAAGTTAACAGAGACTCAGCTGCAACCTTTGAGGGAGCCAAGCCAAGTGCTGTGCATCAGTGCCATCTTTGTACCCTTCTCCATGAGTGCTCCTTAGCTCCTGGTGCTGGCTGGCACTTAGGCTCTTCTTCCAGCATTAAATGGTGCCATTCAGCTGGACTTTGCATTACCCCAATATGCTGAGCTAGATTCAGTTTTGCACAGACACCACGCTTTCTCTTGTGTTGGCCCTGCCTGCATCTGACTGCAGTGTGTCTTATTCAGTGCATTCTCCTTGTGATGCTGTAAAGCTATAATGTGAAGGAAAATACAGCAATAACAGCAAAGTGGCACAATCTTAGGCTGAAGCCAATAAGAGTAAGCCCAAAAGCAGCAGCCACAGACACAGAAACAAAGGAAGAAAAACTGCTTACCTTTGAAGGACATCCAGTAGAGAGGGATCTCCAGCAAGACCCCTGTACCCTCCACTGCCAATCCTTAAATGAGGTCCAGGAAGGGGTGGATCCAGCTCCACTCCTTCCAGTCACTCAGGAACATTGCTTGCACCTGAGCTCCTCTGGATTGGCCCTGCCTTCCTACCAGGTGCTCAATCATTGGTTCAGACCATGAGTTAACATTTTCCCTGCATTCCACTGCTTCATGGTGTGAAGCGATGATTGAGCAGATTGAAGGTAAGGAATGCTTTGTACAATTTGCCCATCACAATGTAGATGGACAAGATATAAGACAATTAATGGCTGGTTCTTGGTTGAGATTCACGTTCCTTTGTGGGGCAGTTCTTGATGGTTCTCCTGGGGGCACATAGTTGCTTGGACCAGGGAAGGTTCAGCTTGCATTCCATCAGTGTCATATAGTCCACAAGGTATCATGCTGATCTTACAGTGACACTGGAGCATCTTGATATCATGTTTCCCCTTGTGGTGGTCCTGCGGACTCAGAAAGACTCAGAGGGAGTAGCATAGATGTTTTAGAGATACCAGAAAGGGTAGGTCAGCCCTTCACAACAAGATATAGGCTGTGTTCTTATCCTAGGTCAACACTTTGGTTTGCACTGGGGTATATCTAACCGCCTATACCACACTCTTTTGGCCCAACATCTGAAGCTGCATAACTATATCAGGTATCAAAGGGGGATCCAGATTTGCCATAGGGACTCAATTAAGGTTCCCTTCACAATGAAAAAGGAGAGTGTTGACCACAGTATCTGCAGGCCATGTACTGGAAAGCTACCAAGCTGCCAGCTTCCAGTGATCTCCCCCAAGGTACAAGTAGGCCACATCATTTTTGTACTACTTGCACCTTCAAAGGTGCACCCTATTTTACAGGAACCAGGTTCTAGATTTTCAGGGTCAGGGAGCAGAAGATTATTTTCACTGCAATTTGGGGTCTTACCTGATTATCAGTGCCCAAAATATGGATAAGAGCCATATTGCCTGTAGCATCTTCAGGGCACTGGGTCTGCCATCCCCAGGCCTTTCATTCAGGTCCCCTAAGTACAGCAGTAATAGCAAAGTAGCACTATCCTAGGCTACAGCAAATGAGAACAAGCCCAGATGCAGCAGGCACAAAGGAGAAAAGACTGCTTACCTTTGAAGGACATCCAGTAGACAGGGATCTCCAGCAAGACCCCCATACCCTTACCCTCCACTGCCAACCCTTAAATGAGGTCTGGGAAGGGGTGGATCCAGCTCCACTCCTTCCAGTCACTCAGGTACATTGCATGCCCTGCCTTCCTACCAGGTGCTCAATCACTGGTTCAGGTAACATTTCTGCTGCTCTCTCTAAGACAATCACTGTTGGTGGTATTTCCAGCTCAGCTGAGCTAATTTGGAGTTTATATAGGTTCCAATAGGCTCTAAACATGTCATTATTACTAATGCATAGTGTTGAGTTGACACGGTCTGCTCCATGTATGAATTCAACTCAGAGACCAGACTCATGTGGTTCTGGGATGCTGCAGAGCATCCACCTGTGGAATTCAGAGCTGGATTAAAGCCAGCTTTAAGCACAAGTAGTAAATGATGAAAGTAACTAAGGTCTACTTCTCTCCCCTAGAAAAACTGTTGATGATATGAATGGATTCTGCTTCAATTTGCTTCAGTTAATATGCAATTTCTGTAGTGTTTTGAGGTGATGTGTAAGTGGAATACTGAAGAAAATTCTTACTCAAAATAATTCAGCTGCTGTTCTTAGCTTTTTTCCTACTGAAAACTCTAAACCTTTCAAAGAAACGGAACATTTCTGGATGCAAAACATTTTAATCCACTGAAGAACGCCTTCTCCTTCACCAAAATGCATCTATGGAAAAAAACCTTCACCAAGCCTACCAGCTAGATATTAAGCAAGTAGGAGTATCAGTTAATTCTAGTAAAACTCAGCAATAGATTTACTGTAAAGAGCGTTGTTTTTGTTTGCATGAATTTAGTGTAAATTGATAAATATCTTGGGTTGGCTCTTTTGTCTCAAGCTTTCTCAGAGAAACTGGATTTTTCTTTATGTGATAGCATTAAAACTTCTATGTGTGTTGGGACCAAGACACTGTTTAGCTCAGTTTCTAATAGAGTACTCAAGAAAGAGCAAAATTTAACCTGACCATTCATGATACTTGTACTGGTTGGCACACCAGCCTTCACAGCTACTCTGTAACCTTCTACACTGACCCTCCTCTACTGCAGGGACCAGAAGCTACCAGCAGGAATGAAGCCTGGGAGGTGGACTGTGCAATATGATACACAATGGGAGCTTTTTCCCACCAGGCAATCCACTGTGTAGGATGCCTTTTGCTTTCCCTCCTGAAATGCTCTCCCTACTGCACTGGCAGAGACCCTCAGCCATTGCACCACGCACGGAGCAAAACCCAGAAGGATTTTACAGCCCAATGGCCAAAGCTCAGCAGGGTTTTCACAGCTGGTGGGCATTTGGAGTGAAGGGTTTGGATATCAGATTTCAATGACAGTGATATTTATGGACGCTCTGACTAATCTCTGTGCCTGGGACATAACAACTATATCCAAAAACATTGGCAAATACTTCTTTTGTTTTGTTTTGTTAAGAACTGTAACTACTCCCATCTCACCTGGAACTAGTACATGAGCAAAGTTCATCATGACATTTCAGCAACGTCAGTGCTGTTATTGGACAGCCCTACCAGTGAGCAAAATGGAAGCAAAGGAGGAAAAAATGAGTGATCAAAATTTTCCAAACTCTCACAAATACTTGTTTCGAGCAGTGGAGAGATTTTGCAAGTGGCAGGTGTCAGTAGTAAATACTGAATTCTCCACTTTCCCTTTGGTGCCATTATAAATAGGGTTATTTGTTTTTAAAATAGGCATTTTTCATCACTTCTTCTTAGGGTCATGCCTCTGTAAGGCTCACAGATGCTAAATTTGGACAATACCTTTTAACCATAACATGTGAAGCTCCAAAATTTCAGAGGCTCCATTAAAATCATGCAGAAAGTGGGATTTTTGCCATTGGTTTGATTGGCTCCAAGATTACATCCTTGCTGTTCTTTGGAAGTCATCTTCGATTTGGAAATAATCTTCAAAAATGTTGTGATACATTGCTCTCCAAGGAGATTCCTGCTACTTCATCGTTTTGACAAGGCTGTAAATAACAAAAAAGCTATACTCATCAAGTGCTCCTCCAGTCTCCGCTGAAATCAGAATAGTCAGAAATGGGCAACAGCAAAATGTTAATTAAATTCCCTCAAATCTCAAAAGAAATGTTGAGTGGAGCTTCTCCGAGACTGCAGAAAACTGCCTGTGGAAAACTGTCAACATTTCTCTTTAACATATTGTGTCAAATTTTGGTGTCTATGAATCAGTTGGTGAAGTGGTAGGAAAAAAAACAGAAAAACACATTTTTATGGATGCTGGGAATATATATCTGTGATGTAAATATAAAATACATGCATCTTGCTATCTAAAATATATACACTACCTATATACAAAACTTTTCATTTCCTAAGTCTGTATATAGAATTATTTATGTATATTTTTATACAAGAACACAAAAACTTGCAGCCAGCACCAGTTTTGCACCAGCCACTTTGAAGGCAGATTTGTTTGTTCGTTTAAGAAAACCTGTTCTGATGAATGACCTCACCTAGCTATGGACTGGATGCCCTGTAAGAAATTCTGGATGGGTAGTATAATGAAATATCATTGTGTAGGGGTTTTCAGATTTGTTATGATCCACTGGAGTACAGTCTTCCAGCTGATGCTGAGTCCCATTGCCACTGACCATGTGCTAGAAAACAGGGAAAAGATGTGCAAGCATTTGGAGGGGAGCTTGGCCCCACTGCTGTCTGGAAAAAAAATCCCATTGACTCCGACAAACCAGGAATTCACCCACAGTCCTTGGAAGATTTTTACAGAAGTACAATAACGTGCCGTGTAAATCCTATAATCAAAG